TATATATATATATATATATATATATATATATATATATATATATATATTCCTTTATTTAGCTCATACTGCTCTACTATTATGATGTTTTGGAAAGTGAAAATAATGATGCTCCTATAGAATGCTGCCATTTGACGACTTCAACAAGCAAAAAAGCATGAGAATATATGTTTTGCTCAATGTTATGGGCTGAAAATAATTTTTCAATTAGATTTCAAAATTGTATCACTAATTGTTAAAACTTTTAATGAACTGTTGTACTTCTCAGGTACCTGAGATCCTTCAGTGGCATTTATCAACAAAGGTGATCATTTTTTTTTATTTTTTTTTTCATTTAGCCTTTATTTATACAGGTTAGTCTCATTGAGCCACGAGAACTCATTTTCAAGAGAGACCTGTTTAGGGAGCACATGGTGGGGGTTAAGGGCCTTGCTCATGGGCCCAGAGTGGGGCGAATGAGGGTGGGGGCAAGTGTGGGTGTTTCACCTACCCCACCCACAATTTTGATGTTGTCGGGGCTGGGGCGTGAACCAGCAATCTTCGGATCACAAGCCCACCTCTCTAACCTCTGCGCCACCACTCCCCAACAAAGGTGATCATGACTTTGCAGTTTGGATTTTTGACTCTGGAAGTCTTTACCTATTGATATCAAAGAGATAAGTTGAGTGAACTTGTAGGATTCCTAGTTTTCTCTGCCATAACCACTTTCCTCACAGCTGACACGCATTCCAATCATTCACCCAACCACACCTACACCTGATTCTGATGACTTCCACTACACTACTTAAATCCCTGCCAGACATTTATCCTACACTGGAACATTATATTGCCCCTAGTGATTAGTGACAGACAAAAACTATTCCTTCACAAATGTTGACTAACCTCGTGATTTTTATTTTATTTTATTCATTTATTCATCATCAAAAAGAAAACATTGAATGAAAAGAGTACAGAAAGAAGAAAAATAATTCTTATATCTGCCCCTTATTAAAAAAAATATAAAATAACTTTAAACAATCACTTAAATTAATCACTTTAATATCCACTTTAAAATTAGGAATAAAAAGAAACATGTTTTGTGTTAGCAGAATTTAATTCTAACTTTAAAACTTATCCAACATTAATACAACTTACCTAAAGTTGCCTTTTTGGACATGCCTGCATATATTTGTACAAATTGTACTTGAGAGGAGATTATTACAGCCCCATATTAAAATCAATGATGATGATGATGATATCGGAACTGGATCGGTATCGGCCGATATTTAGATTTAGGTATCGGGATCGGATCGGAAGTAAAAAAAAAAGTGGATTGGTGCATCCCTAACCAGATCTTGGTACCGGATCATCAAGAAGACTGTTCATTCCTTCAACAGTCACAAGTAAGATCCTTGATTGGATTCATTCAAACAAATGTTCTTGTCACCCAGGCACAAAATGCATGCTTCTCCTCACCAAAAAACAGTTTTGATGGCCCAACATGGACAAGGAGATCAAGAAGTTTGTGGCAGCATTTTCCGCTAGTGCTCGCAACAAAACATAACAATTAACCTCCAGCAGGCTTACTACTTCCTCTACACTTTCCCGATTGACCATGGTCCCACATCACCATCAGTTTTATCACTGGTCTACCCCTGTCTGAAGGTAACTCTGTCATTTGCAATGTCATTGATTGTTTTGCTAAGGCTGTTTAATTCATCCCCCTGGTAAAACTCCCTTCAGCATTGGAAACTTCTCAAAGCATGATCAAATATGTTCCGTCTGCATGGCATTCCCAATGACATAGTTTATGACAGAGGTCCATAGTTTGTCTCACAAATGTGGAAAGCTCTCTTTCTATCCCTAGGAGCCACTTCTAGTCTGACCTCTGGTTTCCACCTTCAGTCAAACAGCCAAAACAAGAGCTGTAACCAGGAGCTGGAAGCAGCATGATGGTGTGTAATCAAGAATAATCCCCTCTACATGGAGCCAATATCTACCTTTGGTAGAATACGCTCATAATTCACGAACATATTCAGCAACAGGTCTGTCCTCCATGGAAGCATTTTTGTGGTATTCTTCACCTCTATTCCCAGTTAGAATCACTTCCATCATTGCCACAAGATCTGGTGCCAGACGAAAGAGGCCCTACTCTGGACAGCTGAACAGAATAAACAATTTGCCCACTGACACCAAACTGCTGCACCCAACTATCAACCTGGTCAAAAGGCTCTCCACCAAAGACATTAAGATCAAGGATACCCCCAGAAAGCTTGCCCCTAGGTTCATCGGTCCTTTCAACATAAAAAAGATCATCAACCCATTTGCTGTCCTGTTACAACTATGATCTTCTATCCATCCCACATTTCACATTTCCAAATCAAACCTTTCTCCACAAGCCCTCTAAACCCTCCAACCACACATGACCTAGAGGTCACGGCTTCCAATACCTGGTGGACTGGGAGTATAATGGTCCTGTGGAATGCTCATGGGTTCCTAGAGCTTTCATCTTGGATCCCAACCTGGTCATTTTCTTCTATAGAAAACACCCAGACAAAATAATAAAATCTCCAAGAGTAAATTCCTGAGAGGTGGGTACTGTAGGATTCTTAGTTTTCTCTGCCATAACCAATTTTCTCACAGCTGACACTCATTCCAATCATCCACCCAACCACACCTGCACCTGATTCTGAGGACTTCCACTACACTACTTAAACCCTTGTCATATTTTCATCCTATGCTGGAACATTATATTGCCTCTGATAATTTAAGTGACAGCCAAAAACTATTCCTTCACAAACACTGACTAACCTTGAGATTTTTCTGGTGTTTTCAAGTCCTGTTCTTTTGTGTCTCCTTGACCACCTCCTCGCTCCTCATGACCTCGCCTGGAGATCATCCTGTTCTCAACAAAACAACAAAACTCAGCCTGGACCAAACATCGAACACCTTCGTCCTTTAGTACTCGCCTTTCCAGATCACACCTCCATCTCCTCAATATTGTACCTCTCCCAAACTCCAAAGTGACCTACTAACAAACAAACAGTAAGAACAATATCTGCAAACATCCTCAACAACTAAGACCTGTGGAAACAGCTAAACTCACCTCGTTCCCCTTCTTCCTCCCAAAGCCAGAAAATCTCTCAAGCACTGTAAATAATATTGTCTGTGTCTCCTCAGTCTGCCAATTTGTTATCATTAAACCAACAATCATGTTAGAACTCTTTCTTTTAAATAATCTTTTTTCCCCCAGGTCCCATACTTTGGACCTTGTCTTCTCTTTTGGTCTCATCATTGACCAGCTGAGTGTGGTGGATGTTCCTGTCACCGACCACTGCTGTGTCTATTTTAATTTGTCTTTTAACCTCAACAGTTGTCCTCATAAAGTGATTTCTCAAAGGCGAATTATCAATCAATCTGCTGTTGAGAAATTCTCAGAATCTTTTGAGTCCAGTTGTTTCGCTAGTTGCAGTGATGCTGATTCCTTTGTGGAGTCTTTTAATAGTCACTGCCTGTCTGTCTTAGATAAGGTTGCTCCTGTAAAGCACAAAATATCCTCTCGTAAAAACTCTTGTCCTTGGAGAAATGAGGAAATTGTGTTGTTCAGAAGATCATGTCGTAAGGTAGAGCGTTTGTGGAAATCTACAAAACTTGAAGTCCACAGACTACACTTAATGGAGCTGATCTCAACTCTAAATGAAATGATTAAACAGGCCAGGTCTGCATATTTTTCTAATCTTGTGAGTATGAACAAGAAAAATCCAAAAGTCTTGTTTGATACCATTAATAATATGGTTTCACCTTCACTCCCTCTGGTGCCTGTATTCACATTAGATGACTGCAATAGATTTTTAAACTATTTTGTGGAAAAGGTTGACAACATCAGGGCAAGTGTTAAATCAGCTCTTGGTGTCACCCCCAGTTCTGTCCCTACAGTGAGCCCCTGGTCTTCACCTGTCACTTTAGAGGATGTGAAGGTTGTTCTAAAAAAGATCAAACCTTCTTCCTGCATGCTAGATGTTGTACCCACATCACTGTTTTTAAAGGTGTCTGATATTGTCAGCCCCCATGTGGCAGAATTAATTAACATTTCTCTCTCAACCGGGTCAGTTCCAAGTTTTTTGAAACAAACGATTTTAAATCCGATCTTGAAAAAGCCCAACTTGGACCCCACTGAGCTCTGCAACTACAGGCCAATATCAAAAATACCTTTTCTCACCAAAATTCTGGAGAAGTTAGTGGCTGGGCAGATGACTACTTTCTTGCAAAATAATAATATTCTTGATAAGTTTCAATCTGGTTTCTGCAAGATGCACTCCACTGAAACTGCCTTATTAAAAGTCTCCAATGACATATTGATGGCTGCAGACTCTGGTCAGAGCAGTGCTTTGATTTTATTGGATCTATCATCAGCTTTTGACACAGTCGACCACAAAATAATGATACATCGACTGCAACATGAGATGGGATTTTCTGGAACTGTTCTTAAGTGGTTTTCTTCTTATCTGAGCAACAGAACCTTTTCAATGTTTGTTAATAACATACAGTCTAAGACCACTCCGTTACTGAATGGTGTTCCTCAGGGTTCAGTGTTGGGTCCTATTCTGTTCCTTCTGTACATCACCCCCCTGGGAAAGATTATCAGTAGCTTCAGAAATGTGTCTTACCATCTCTATGCTGATGATATTCAACTGTACTGCTCCTTTTATGACTCAGAATTACATAAGTTAGCTGAATTAGTAAACTGTGTTTCACATATTTAGGCGTGGTTAGCTAACAACTGCCTTCAGTTGAATTCTAACAAGACGGAAACCCTGATCATTGCCCCTGAACAGAAAGTTCCTTGGATTAAACAACACCTCGGTTCTTTGGGCTCCTCTTCTCAGCCGAACCTCAGAAACCTCGGTGTTCTGTTCGACCAGTCCATGTCTTTGGACAAACATTCAAAGCTTCTGGTAAAAAACTGCTTTTATCATCTGAGAAACATTTCTAAACTAAGGGCAATGTTATCCAGATCTGACCTGGAGATGATTATTCATGCTTTTATTTCTTCTCGTTTAGATTATTGTAATTCCCTTTTTACTTGTTTTAACAAAACTGCCGTCGCTCGTCTCCAGTTGGTCCAGAACTCTGCTGCAAGGCTTTTAACAGGAACGAACAGAAGGGCTCACATTACACCAGTTTTATCTTCTCTTCATTGGCTGCCTGTTGAATTTAGAATTAATTTTAAAATCTTAGTTTTGACTTTTAGAGCTTTAAATGGACAGGCCCCCCAATACATTACTGAAATGTTGTTTCCTTATTCTCCAGCCCGCACCCTTCGGTCTTCAGCGCTGAACCTTCTTAAGGTTCCTAAGACCCGGTTTAAAACTCGGGGTGACCTATCCTTTCAGGCCGTAGCCCCCCGCCTGTGGAATGCCCTGCCCCTGTCTCTCCGTGTGAACGACTCTGTTGATTCTTTTAAAACGCAGCTTAAGACATTTTTATTTTGTCAAGCTTTTAGTTAAATGTTTTACTGTTTTTTCCAGCTGTTTTTACTGTTTTTATTAATGAGTTGTTATTATTTTATTTCATTTTAAGCTTTTATTTTTTATTGTTGTACAGCACTTTGTGATTGTATCTATGATAAGTGCTATATAAATAAAGTTTACTTACTTACTTACTTACTCTTAAACTTTTAGAAGCAACTGGCCCAGACAACATCCCTGGAAAAGTGTTGAAGGAATGTGCTGATCAGCTCTGTGAGGTGCTGGCAGACATCTTTAACACCTCACTTACCCTGGAGACAGTTCCCACCTGCCTGAAGACTGCCACCATCATCCCAGTCCCAAAAAGCTCTACAGTGACTGGTCTGAATGACTATCGGCCAGTGGCCCTCACCCCGATAGTCGCTAAATGCTTTGAAAAACTGGTCATGACTCGCATCAAAACAACCATCAACATCAACGAGGACCCTCATCAGTATGCATACCGTGAGAACCGATCAACAGAGGATGCAATCTCCTCTGTGGTCCACACTGCACTCAACCACCTGGAGCAGAAAAACTCTTACGTCCGTATGCTCTTTGTGGACTTCACATCCGCCTTCAACACCATGATCCCCCAAACACTGATGGACAAACTATCCACACTAGGACTAAGCCCCTCCATCTGCAACTGGGTACTAGACTTTTTAACAAACAGACCACAGTTAGTGAGGATCCACAACCTCTCCTCCTCCACCATAACCCTCAGCACTGGCTCTCCTCAGGGATGTGTGTTGAGCCCCCTCCTGTTTACTCTGCTCAC